AAAATTGTACTCAAGCAAAGTACTTCTTTACTTCACTACGTTGTCCTTATGTCATTAATTCGAGCTCGTTTTATTGTAAAGATAATTATTGATAAAAAAAAAAATTCCACCATAGGAACTAATGTTAATCGTTGATGTGACAGTCGAGATAGTTTTGCGGGGGCACGCGGGGGTGTTTGTTTGTAGGTGGATCAGTTTCTTCTTCTTAGATTACGCGGGTAAAACACAGATGTTGGCGCGTTAAAACAATCTGAGCTCCAACATGAGATGAAGGTGACGATGAAGATGAAGATGAAGGTTTGAACCGGACAGCTGCTGTAACAACAACAGGAAGTCGGTATCAACACGATAGAGAGACGTGGAGGAAACTGAGGTAAGATCCAGGAACCTGAACGATGCACTTCTAGTTTATTATTCACTGTTCAACACACGATCATTGATGATGTCAGAACTCTCCCCACCGTGGGACAGTTTCCATTTCAGCCAATTTCACATGTTTTATTTTATATTCATACATTTTGAACATTTTAAATGTTATGATACTGGGAGTTTTAAAGATTTCAGGTAGCAACTATAGAAAGATTCCTCGTCATTAGTGAGTCCTCCTCAAACAGTTCTACAATTTACTGTCACTTTTTATTGTCAGTGTGCAGAGTTTTGTATTTAGTCTATGGTGCACAGTGAAGGTAGAAAACTTTGTGTTCATCCTCCCTGGATTATCTGCAGTGAAGTATTTTTAGTCAATGTTGTTTGAATTTGCTTTATTACTATTCATGTGTGTGGCTTTTAAATTCCTTACATACGTAGATGCTGGGAGAATAAAGCCATGTTTTGAATAGAAGGTTTTTTTAAAAATAATATACAACCTGGCAGATGAAGGTCCAGTCTATATACAGTATCTGTTCAGCTATTCCACATCTGTAAAAACATGATGTCGATTATGTGACCACTTGAGATTTCCTCTTAAAAGTTACTTTGACCCCAAAAATACACAGAAGTTTGTTTTGGGAAAACTTTGTGGTACATCTTTTAGTGCATTTTTATATGCAATTCTTCGAGCTTTGGTAAATATTGGTCCAAGCTGCCATCACATAAACCTCATTGACTGAAGGACGACCACAAAATGCAGTTGAAGACCTTGGAAAAATCTTGTATTTGCGCCTGAAGTTAAGATGTTTGCTTGTTAAACTAGCGGCTTAGCATTGCAAATCTTTGATCTGCATTGGAATTTATTCTTTCCAAAGAGTTTTTTTTAACGGTAACATTCTGATATTTAATTATTTCAATGACTTTAGAGGGAATCTGATCAGTAGCGTTAGTTATAGCAGTTCAAAGTGAAAAACTGTAGTTGAGTGAAACTAGTAAAGATAAAACACTACCACCTTGTGGAGATATTGTTTCATTGCACTTGTTTCTGACATGGAGGAAATGAAGTGTCACACAAAAGGTTTTCAATGCAATCACATTTATTGGCTTTTTTTCTATGCACAGTTACTAAGCAGCCTGATGAGCTGTTAAAATGAATTAGATATAGAATAATGGAATTTTCACAATGTTGTAACCCCCCAAAAATAAATACAAGACTGAAAGTGTTGCACAGCTCCAAAATATACAAAGGCTTGGAAATAATCAT